GATTCTCCTTATGCTGCTGAGAATTTAGCCCAGAAGAAGCGGATAGTATAGCTTTTATTTTGAAAGAGACATTTCTCTGTAATAAACTCTCTTTTCCAAAGATGAGTGATTCCTCCATCAGATTTTTTTTTCTCATTGTTTTTTTGTTTCAGCAACATTAAATTTAAGAACTGTACTTTTGAGTTAAAATATATATTTATAATTTTAATAAATGACAAATTAAAAAGGCATGAACATTTTTTTTATCGAAAAGATATCGAACCGTGACACCAAAGTATTGAACCGTGAATTTAGTGTATCGTTGCACCCCTAATATATATGTGTAATGAAAAATGATTATTTTACATGCACTCTTTAAATCTGCGGTTTATTAATTGTCACTGAGCAGCCGTTAGCTTTAAATCTGATCTCTCTTCTTTCCTCCAATGTCTTTCTTGCAACTTTGTCCATCTGTTAGTGAAGTAATCCCTCTTCTCTCCTTAGAAATACAGCAGCTAGACCTTTAGCTAGCAACACACTGTGCAGCAAACTGCACACAGACTATTCGTCGTTTGGTGATGTTGAGCTAATATTAGAAATGTTGCATTTGAAATGTTCTAACAGTTAAAAAACTAAATGTTGCTCCCTCTTCTTCTGTGGGGCTAGATGCTGAAGTGCAGCAATCACAACTTTTTTCTTTTTTTTAGACGAGTACTTCTGACTACAACACCTTTGCCCCACTTTAAGCCCTGAGTATAAGCTATAAATGATACAGCTGAACTTAAAGTAATGGCTTGTTTTGTAAGTGTGAGGAGTAGAAAGTACAGATACTTGTGTAGAGATGTGGGGAGTGAAAGTAAAAAGTTGTCAGAAACATAAATACTCAAGTAAAGTGCAAATACTTGAAAATTAGTATTAGTACTTAGTAATCAGCAGAAGTGAGTAACAAAGTTGAGTTTATTTGTGAATACTGTAAACGCTGCTTTCTGTAAAACCCACTGTCATGTTTTTTGTCAAATATAAGTTACATTGTTAGAAGTTACTTATGAATATTTCTGAAAAGTTAAACATCCAAAGAGTTGTTGGACTTGTCAGTTCCTGTTTTGTGGAACCTGCTTTAGTGGAAGTCTTGACCCACCTTTGACCACATCTGGTTTAACAGCACAGAGCAGGGTGAAATACACTAATGCATAATTTCCCTGTAGACTACAATATAGTTGATATGTACATGTTTTTAGCCAATGCTGTGATATTTCAAGGTTCATCCGTGACCATAGGAACTGTAAAAAAATTAATTAATACTATATTACCTACGAATATATTACAGCTAAGTGACTGAAGTGCTTGACATGACAAAACATACCATCTTTAAAGGGACCAGTATATTCAGGGCCATTATAATCAAATTGAGCCTACCTGCTGTAAACACGACACAGAAGCCCATTGATCAAACGATCAGTCTTAAACCTGCGGTAATCTTCGCAGATATCCTTCAGAGCTGTTAATGACAGCACCAGTACAATAGGAACCAGAGCGATCTCTGGCTGAAAGGCTTCCACAACAGGGACAAAGTTTAGTGCAGCAAGGAAAATGAAGTAGACGTTAGCGAATCGGTGGAGCTGCTCAAAAACATTCTTGGGCAGAAAGGACAGAAAGGAATACTTTGTTGTCCGGATCTTGTTGCTTTTATACAGCTGTAGGAGCTCCTTCAGTTCCTCATTCTCTATGAAGGAAGGTACCACGGTCCTCTTCTTCCGGTGGTGCTCCTTGGTAGCATGAGGGCAGGATGGTTGCTCCGTGCTGTTCATGAGTCCACTGTTGCAGCCGATAATGTTTGTCAATTTGTCCCTAATCGTAAGCCTTGATTTTCCATGACTGCATACAGCTCTAATCTGAAAAATATTCTCCTTCAGCTTTTATTCTGTTCTTTCTTCTTACTCATCCTGCTGTAGAACTGTTTTCCTTTTCCTATCATACCTATCACGGCTGTGGAAGGCAAGGTGGGAATGATCAAAAGACAGCTGACAGTCTTACAGAATTCACTGCCACTCCTCTAAAGGGAAGCAGTGCTGTAAAGAAACTCAAAGTTCAAGTTTTACAACTGCCAGAAAACACAGATCAGATACACCAGACAGCAGAGTCACAAAGCAAAGATTGTTTCCTGACAGTCCCCTTAAGATCAGATGAGTCCTTGTCCACTGAGCAGAAGGAGTTTTACATTGTTTTTCTATGTTTGACTGTAAAATGTGAGATCTACAGTGCAGTCACTGGCAGCACCCATGTCCCCATTGGCAGAGGTTACAGAAACCATCTATTTTTTAAATGTATATTGTGACTGAGAGCCAGGCTCAGCTTTTTCAGACCTTGGTTATATAAGAGACTGAGCATGTCTTCATTTGACTGATGAGAGTGCAGTGAAAGCTTTCAGCGATGAATGCTGTGGTTGCCATGAGCACAGGATTAAGAAAGCAGTCAGAGGGCTTGAGCACTGTCACTGCTTAGCTTTATAAGATTTGCACAGAAAATTAATACTGCTGCAAAAACAGCTGATTGTGGGCAGAGCAAACTCCACACAGGAAGGCTCGACCAGATGGGCATTAGAATACAGAAAGCTTCACTTCCTGCCCAGCTCACACCTTTACAGGCAGCACTTTAACAAGTTCATTCATTTAGTATAGCTGAATGTCCTTAAAACAAAAGAACTCCTAACGGACTTCATGAGGCACAGACAGGTGGGAAGCAACAAAGTATAAATACTTGGTTACTGTACGTATATATAATTTTGAGCCATCTGTACTTTACTTTTTTCTGCTAACTTTTTACTTTTACTGCCTACATTTTGAAACAAATATCTGTACTTTCTACTTCAAAACAGACTGGTTACTTTTGGTTCAGCTGCATCGCTTACAGCGTTTATACCCTGGAGTTAGAGGGCCAGAATGAGTGCAGGTGTCCTGTTGTGTTTGCGGAACTACAAAATCTAGCTAGCAGGATAGAAGAGGAAGAAGTATGAGGGGAGGGGTGTTCTTTTTAAGTGTCAGGTCATTTTAAATTCACCGTTTCTATCAGCTCAACAAACATCAGCAAACACACAAACTGTCTGCAGTTTGTCGCACAGTGTGTTGCTAGGTAAAGGTCCAGTTGCTGTATTTGACAGGGAGAGAAAAGAAAGAGCGCTAACTTCACTCAGAGATGGATCATACGTGGGATTTGTTTATTATCCGTTTTGATCATTTTTCATATTGTGAAATGTCCTGCATACCAAAATATACAAACTTGTGTTATTGAAATGTTGCATGAAAGTACTCAGAAGTTTTGTGCAGGAAAAACAGGTTAGTTTGCAATAATGCAGAGAATCCAAAGTAAAGACTGATACGTCAATGGGACGTTTCGTCACTCATCCAAGGGACTTCTTCAGTCTCAGCTGACTGCAGGTTTCCCCAACCTGATAAACAGGACATTTGCACAATTCACTGATCACATTAACTTGGTGGACCAAGACATCAAAGGGAGGATATGAACAGTGGCAGGTTAGCCTTCTTAGACTGTGAGATTTCCATCAGTAATGGGGGACATCTAAAACTGATGTGTACAGTAAACCTACACATACAGGTCAGTATTTAAGGTTTGACTCTCATCATCCACTGGAGCACAAACTGGGCATTATCAGGACGCTACAACACAGAGTGAACACCATCCCCACTGACACAGCAGCCAGAGAAGCAGAAGAACATCAAGAAGGTCCTGAGTAAATGTGGTTATCTCAGCTGGACTTTTGTCAAAGCTGGGAAGGCTCCTGAAAAAAGCTGCAGATGATCCAGGAGAAAAATACAACCTCTGACTAAGAGAAAACCTGTAGTGATCCCGTACATGTCAGGAGTATCGGAGCAGCTGAGACGCATTTTTTCTAAAAACCGGGTCTCTGTGGCTTTTAAACCCCAAAACACACTGCGCCAAACACTGGTCCACACCAAGGATCAGGGCCCCCGACACAAACAGAGTAATATAGTTGTTAAGTGCAGGAGGATTGGCAGGATTTATACATCGGGGAAACCAAACAACCTCTGGCTAAGAGGATGGCACAACACAGAAGAGCCACCTCGTCAGGCCAGGACTCTGCAGTCTATGCACACCTACAGGCCAGTGGACACTCTTTCAATGATGAGGACCTTTTACTGGAGTATTTTCTAACACAGGTATCTGTACTTCTACTTAAGTAAACAAAGTCTGTACTTTTGCAATCTGTGCTCCTGTCATTATAAATAGAGAACGGGTGGAATATGTCTCCACCTTCAGGATTCTGGGCACCCACATCTCCACAGAGCTTAGGTGGACCCACAAACACCATCGCCCTGGTAAAGAAGACCCAGCAGTGGCTGCACTTCCTCCGTGTCCTGAGGAGGAGTAACCTGGACCAGGAGCTGCTGCTGGCTTTCTACGGCTCTTCAGTGGAGAGAGCGTGCTCTCCTCCTAGGGTGCCTGGATGTTTGTTACGCAGGAGCCACAACTGAGGCCATCGCCAGCTCCTCTTGTCTCAGGAAAACCAGCGCCATCACAGGCGACCCTCACACCCCGCCCACCACCTGTTTGATCTGCTGGACTCCGGTCGGCGCCTCAGGTCAATCAGGTCCCATAGCTCCAGACTCACTAACAGCTTCTTCCTCTGGTTACCAAACACTATCCCCCCACTCCCCACCCCTGCCCACTCATCTCACCAATCTGAACCCCATGATCTGAGTTACCCTCATCACTCAGGCCGCTCACATAAGGACTCCTTTTTGTTGGACTACTTCCAAGCAGTATGCAACTTTTTCTCTAATGTGTGCCTCACATATCCCTCTTGATTGTAAAGATTTCTCCTGATTGCTATTTATATTTTATTCCAGCACAGCTGGTGTGGGGCACCCACTATTTCGCTGTAAATGTATAATGACAATAAAGGCCTATTCTATTCTATTCTATTCTAGTCCACGGATTATTCTTATCTATATTAATGCAAGTAAGAAAATTGTATTTCCTGATGAACTGGTCCTTAAACTAAAAGGTTCACTTACCCACAGAATACTCGAACTACATTGTTGTTAACCTTCTTGTCAAACAAGTAGCGTCTGAAGTCTTCCAGGGCATCTTTGATGGCGATAATTATGAGAACCACCAGCAGAGGAATCATAGTAATTTCCTTCTGAAAGGCTTCAACCACTGGCACCCAGTTTAGCAATGTCAAGAACAGGAAATAGAGGTTTGCAGCCCTACAGAGAGAGGAGCAAATTAGTACATGGAAGTAACAAAATATAGTCACTGCAGTAGTGAAGCCAGATGAGTGGTGACCAGTTATGATGGATGTGCTGTACTGGATAACCAGTACGGATCTTCTGTTAATCCAGTTTACATATCAATTCAGTTCAGTTTCATTCAATTTTATTTATATGGCACCAACAACAGTTGACTCAATTTAATCCACAAAGACTACATTGCAAAGATGTGTAATAGACAAAACATATCACACAGCTAACAAAGAGGTGAGCCTCTCAGAAGTTCAACATTCTCTAAATCTCAAATTGTAAAGAATTTAAACTCATCCTCTGTAGTAACTATATATATATATATATGTTTGAAAAACAAAATAACTGTCAGGTCTGACCTGTGAAACTGCTCGAACAGATTCATGGGAATGAAAGTCAGGAAGGTGTATTTGGTAGTGGAGATTGCATTGCTTTTGTAGTTTCTGGATACACGTTCATAATCCTGTTGGTGACGCCCATTGCGGGGAAATACCGTCCTCTGCTTCCCACAGACCCTCCCCCGAGGGCTGTGGGTGTCCAGCAAGCTGCTGTTGGGCAGCCCATCAGAGTACCAACCCCGCCTTGAGTCTCCTGCTAGCAGCTGCCGACAGCATTGCTGCACCCAGCGCAGCCGCTCCATCTATGCAGCAGATATGCTAGGTAGGCTGTGAGGGTACCGAGGCCAGGCTTTTTATGGCCTTTGGCTTCTGTGTGCTTCACGATGATCTTTTACAAAGTCACCATCCTAGAAGGAGAAACGACAAAATTATTATTTTACAGATTAGAGTTAAATGTCAGTTGCCTATGTAATATTCTTGATATTTATATTGAACTACTTGTTTATATATATTACAAAATATAAGAATTCGCTCTAAACTTTGTAATATATTGTATGGTTTAATTTGTTTAGTGTGTTACTGTTGTTGTCTTGGAGCAACTGTAACATGCATCATTTCCTTAGGGATTATTAAAGTATTCTGATTCTGATCAAATCCAGATTTTGTGTGTGTGTGTAACGTAACACGGAGTGCTGTGACTGTGTGAGTTTCTACTGATAGTTAATCCTGCTTTAATCAAATCAGGAATCTAATCAAGACTCAGTAAAACTGAATAAGAATATAAGCGTTAGAATTTAATAATTCTGATGTTTAAACCATTCAAACCTGTGTGTGTGTGTGTGTGTGTGTGTGTGTGTGTGTGTGTGTGTGTAAAGATTTTAGGTTCCTTATGCATGATAACCAGATGAAGTCAATTTTGAGTGTATTGTGTTGATAAATACAGACGTTCACATATTGACTGAGTAAAAATATAGATGATAAAGGAAAACTGTATTTCTTATCAATGGGGTAAAAGCATAATGCCAACGATGTGACACCACGAGAATCCTGCCATTAAAGACGTTCCCCTTATGTTTCATGATGATACAGTGTCAGTTTGGAAATACACGGAAACTCTGAGCATCTAAGAGGAGGCCTGACATGCTAGTAGCACATCTGAATGGCAGATTTATTGCCAACAGCAGAGGATCTCAGTTCCCCGTTTGCTGCATAAAAAAGTATGAAACATTAAATAACACTTTTGAGTGGAATGACTGGCACATCTACACTCTGTACCTGGATGTAAAGCTGGAAGCATTCCTCCTCACAACAGCAAAATGATACAAAACGAATAAAACAAGCTGAAGGAGGGTTCGCAATGATAGCGAAAAATGAAAACACAAACAAATAAGCAATATAATTTTTTTTCTTTCTTTTTTTGGTTCAGCCAATTCAGGAAAACACTGAAAAAGTTGTTGAGACAATGTACAGCAAGATGATGTGCAAGCTACTCCAGAGGTTAACTGTAGGAGCGACTTTGGCTGATTGTAAGTGAAGAAGCCGGGCTGCCACCAGCAGCAGAGCGCCTGCTGCCCCGACAGAGAAAATGTGTGTTTATTTACTTATTAATGCATTTTAAATACGTTGAAATGTTTTTATTCCTTTTCTAAGTGGACTCACCTCAAAAGCACGCTTTTAGTTGCACATTATTGCTTCAACATTTATCACAGATTGTTAGTAAGCAGGTCGTCATCCAGGCCTTAATGTGTTTCAGACATGTTTCCAGTTCAATCAGTGTGTGTCACCAGACAAAGCTGGGTGTCATCTGCATAGCAATGAAAATGTGTGCTATGCATTTGAATGATACTGCCTAAGGGGAGCATGTGTAATGTACATTATTAGGAATTAGGCCTAGCGCAGCACCCTCTATAATTAAACTTAGTGTCTGGAGGAGACTCCTCCTTTACATGAACAAACTGGATTAGATATTAGCCATCTGTTAGCCAGATATGATTCAAACACGTTAGCTAATGACCTTTAATATGCTCTGGTCTCTGTAATAAAATATGATGGTCAACAGTAATAAATGCTGTACTGAGGTCTACCAAGATAAGCATAGAGATGAGTCCACTGTTCTTGCCCATAAGATCATATTAACATTCACTAATGCTTTTTGTACTCTAATGAGTTCTAAAACCTCTGCAGATAATCATTAAGCTGTTTGATAACTACTCTTTCAAGAATTTAATTGGGCCAAGGCTGCTGGGTAAAGTTATGGCTTATTAAGTGAATGGTCTGTGGTATGTTGCCCATTAATAGATATAAATAGGTCATATTTAAGATTGAAGGATTAATTAATGGTAGAACTCCTTTGAGCAGTCTTGTAGGAATGGGGTCTGAAATATGGTTTGGAGAAAGTTAATTACTGAAGTTAACTGGATGATCCGGGCATGTTAAGGATTATTGTGAATGATTATTATTAATCCTTGTGTCATCCTTAAATTCTGCATCCTTTCCACACCTTCCTGAAGAAAAATGTACACACACAAAATCTACCATAAAATCCTCATATAGCAATATTTTTTCTACAAACACTCACACACAGACACACACATCCTCTCTCAATCCATTTATCTGTTTCTCTCAAACACACACATATTCAAAGCCCATCAAATCTGTTCACACTTCACAGGTTCTGTTATTGAAGTTATCAGTGTTGTTGTGGTTTGCACAATAAATCTTTCCAAATCACTCTCGGGGCTCCCTGGTGGTCACACGGCTCCGTAATATGACTGGCAAAAATACAAGAATGTCATACGTTGGCCCACCAGGGGAAATGGTTGAAACTGGTGGAACGCAGTAAAAATGTCAAACATCACCACTTTTCTTTGAAATGAAACCCTGACATGACAGAATGCATGGTTTTATACTGAACAGGAGTGAATGGAGCATTTTTGTCCAGAAACGTGTGGAGAGCACTAGACAAAAAAATAGTAATGCAACCAAATTAATTGTGTTGCTCATTTTTGACATGTCCAAGACTCTAGTCGCCACCAATACCCCATCACCAAACTATTTATTATATGGAAAATATTTTGGATTTTGTGAGTTTTTTTCAATAAAATACTAACAATTCAAATGCTTAAACTGGCATTTAAATGGTTACAATCCTGAAAATAATTTAATGTTTGATCACTTTGAAAAGGGCTCAGTTTAATTGATTTGTTGTGTGAGGGTTTTATGGCACATTTTGCTCGTGTACATTGTTGTACACGCCAAATGAAAAACAAAAGGCCGGTGAGGCACAGAAGGCACACGTGTTATTATTACTCTCACGTCGTAACTTTCACTGTAACTGTAACTCATTTAAACCCTACACTGCAACCTTCTACGTGACCTGACGTGCACCTCCACAGAAATGTAGCTACACGTCGGGTCACAGCACACAAAAATGACTTTAAAGGCGTGGAAGGTTGCGGTGTACGGAGCAGTTTCCGGTTACGGAGTTAGGACGTTGATTTCCCGCAGAAGTCTATGGTGTTCACGTCCTGGTGCGAACCATACAGCGGTTTTTCTACACTACTTCTGCAAAAATAACTGACCCGTTTGCGGCCTTTCCAGAACATGAGTTGT